CAAACCAAGTGTCTTTTTTAGAATTTCTTTTACATATATATATATAATTTCCTTAAGAAGTGGAACATAGGGAAAAAAATTTCCTAACATTGTTATCCTCAGAGATGCTGCACTGCAGTGATTTGAGCTATGCAGCAAGATAGCAGTTACTGTCAGAAATCTTTCATTTACGGGTTTGCCAATAAATTATCTCCATGTAGGGGTGTTGATGGAAATGCTGAATAGTTGTACAACAAATGTTGCTTTGTTTGGTGAAAACTATAAAGACTGGCTGCCTATTGTGATTTTCCTCTGCTAGCATCTTTTTGCTGCTACAATTTAATTATACAGTAAGCCATTAAAACATCTTTCCTCACTCCCAGTAAAGATTCTTACTCCATCTAGTATTATTATTTCCTTTATAGATTTCTAATATCTTTAAGTTGTAAAAGTTAATGTTCTCTATTTATCCTAATGATTTTTTTTTACCAGAATTTTTGTTCTCCAGAAAGGAAAACCTTTTGTACTAATATCTTGGCGATATTATGCCATTTGCTATAGTATGCCAGAATAAATTATTCTTCATTTGTTAGCAGTATATTCTTTCTTTTGTATTCTCAACACATGTTAGACTGCAACTGTCTAATCCCAACAATGGCTATGTTATATGGAGTTTATAGGAATTATTATCCAGAACAGCTTTCCCTATCAGTTTGCATGCTGAATTGGTTTAGTATCAGCATTTGAGGTTTCTCATTCAGATAAACAGAAAGACAGACAAACAGACAGATGCATGAATGCACACACACACACACCTCTGCATATATACATACTGTATAAAACCATTATTTCTAAAGCTAGAGGAGTATTAACAGATATTTTTAGCTGGATAGGTTATCTAGTCCTGGAAATATTAAATAAGTCTATAATAAAATATAGGATATTCACATACATTTTATTGATCACTGCATAAATAAACAAATACAACATTAATATCCAGTCATAAAGGTTTAGTTGAAATTCTTGTTTTTTGAAAGCAGTATTTCTTCCTTTATAAGGAATTAAGGCTCGTAGAAAAAAGGCAGGATAAATTTTATTTAAAAAATCTGTAAAAACAACATCATGCAAACCCAATGCTTTCCATCCAAATTGAATTATTTCTATTAAAATATTTTCCTATAACTACTTTGAGAAATTCAGAATATAAAACATTGATTTTTGTAACAGAGTGTTCTGGGATACAGAGAATAAAACCATGATAAAATGATTTCTTAGGTCAAATCTCCTTTCCACAGCATCAGCAGTATTTCTTCTATTTTTAGGTCTTTGAAAAAATATAAGAAGATAAAATTATGGTTGCATTCGATGTCACAGAACTTTTTGCATCCATAGATTCAGAACCAGTCAAATAAACTATGGCAATAGTACTCTACAATATATCCGATCTACCCAAATACACTAAGGCCATGAAATACTGGAAGTAAAATACCGGAAGTGCCAAAACGGGCCCATGTTTAGCCTCCCAAGTCTCCAGGCTTCCCATGAGCTGCCGGAAAGGCGAAAATGGCCTCCCCTGGTCTCCAGAGGCCCTCTAGAGCAGTGGTCCCCAACCACCAGGCCCCGGACCGGTACCGGTCCGTGGATCATTTTTTACCAGGCTGCAAAGAAGTGGGTGCCGCCATCTTGTTTCAACGGCGCTTGAGAAAGTGCTTCTGGGTGAGCTTGTCGGTCGTCGGTTGGAAAGCGGCGTTTGGGTGCTGAAGGAATCCTCGCGCCTTAGTTTCGTCAAGGGGTGTGTGGCTTCGAATGAAGAGCCGTCCCGATGGCAGTGGAGTCTCACGTTAGGAGGAGATTAAGAAAAAGCCCGAAAAGCCCATCGACAAAGGTACAAAGGAGGAGTTGAAGGTGGCAGGGAGAAGCGGGGGACGGCTATCTGGCCAGTCGCTCGGCTCGCCTTGCCTTGGTCATGCGTGCTGATGCCGGTACTGGTCCGTGGATCATTTTGTGATGCCGGTACCGGGCCGTGGGACAAAAAAGATTGGGGGCCACTGCTCTAAAGGATGAAAACGGGCACTTCTAGTATTTCCAGAAGGCCCGTTTTTCAGCCTCTCGAGGCTGCAGAGCCTTCGCGCGAGCCTCTGGGAGGGGGAAATGGCCTCAAATGGGCCAAAAATCAGCTGGGAGGTGCACATGCACAGTGCAGGTAAGAGGGGAGGGTGTTTTGCGTGCATGCTCAGGGGGGCAGGGCACATTGCATTGTGGGTGCCAGCGCACCACAACAAGAAGGTTCACCATCTCTGTACTAAGGTCTACATATGCAGAATCAAGGGACTCATCAACCTCTCTGTCTGGCTACCTACTTTCATTTTGATGGACAAATATACCAACAAGTCAGAGATACACTTATGGGATCACCACTCTCAGAACTCATAGAAGAGACCACAACACAGTGCTTAAAAACTATACACTTCTACACATACATCCCAAAGTATCAAAGTTGTATATAAATGACACAATCATAATAAAAAGGAACAACTACAAAAGACAAATGAAACATCAATAACTTCAAAGAAATAAAATTCAAGAGGGAAAGAAGAAAACACAGTTTCCTAGATATCCTCAGCAGCAGTATAAATGATGGCAAATTAAAACCATAAGTGTATTAAAAAAATGTTCATCACCAACCTATCAACTGAACCTCGAGCAAGAAAAGCTATGCAAACCATTATTCAGATAACTACAAATGCATTACAGCAATCCATAACATCAGAAAAAGAAAACAAACTATCTACAAAACATATTCCAACATACAACTTTATCAAAAATGATCACATAATCCAATGCAGTACAACCGGTAAAGGTAAAGGTCACCCTTGCACATACGTGCTAGTCGTTTCTGGCTCTAGGGGGCCAGTGCTCATCTCCGTTACAAAGCCAAAGAGCCAGTGCTGTCCGAAGATGTCTTCGTGGTCATGTGGCTGGCATAACTATATGCCAAAGGCACACAGAATGCTGTTACTTTCCCACCAAAGTTGTCCCTATTTTTCTACTTGCATTTTTACATGCTTTCGAGCTGCTATGTTGGCAGAAGCTGGAACAAGTAATGGGAGCTCACTCCATTATGCGGTGCTAGGGATTCGAACTGCAACTGCTAACTTTTCTGATCGACAAGCTCAGCGTCTTAGCCACTGAGCCACTGCGTCCCTATTACAACTAATACAAGCTATGAAAAGGATAACACTGCCAAACATCTCAAAAACCAACAGGCTATTACAACCACAAGGTATCACCATAGTACACAAACAACTAAAGGCCTCCCAAACATCTTACATAAACCAAACAACCCAGCAGCCTCAGAATAAAAAAAACAGACTCATCAACAACATAGATGTAAGGGCAGTGACAGCCAATAGGCAGAAGGCAGGACAGAAGTGCATCAATGAATACCAACTAGCAATCAGAAGACATGATGAAAATTTCTTAAACTCACAACTCATGGACAGACTAATCATCTTTTAATTATTTGGGAACTGCTCTTCTATTACAATTTTTCAGTCATCAGTAAAAACATATTTTGGGGAAATTCTAAGTGCAGTCATATAACTCTTATTTATTCATTCCTACCTTTAAATTACCATTTAAGACTTCTTTTTCCCTTGACAAAAGGACATAATTTCATTAAAAGTAAGTATTGTAAAATTAGCATTGATTTTAAAGCTCAATTTAAAGGTTACACAAAGTCTTTATGTAAAACATATGGTTCTAATAATGAGTTAATTATGCACTATAAACAAGAAGAGAATGCCCTCAAACCCAGTTTGCACTCCATGTTTGAGTAAATTATTCAGTTGCTTAAAACTGTTGTACGTATTCCAGCACATGACAGGAACATTAAAGTAAGTTCAAAGGAGTGAATCATATACACATTTTTAAAAATGTCATTAAAATTCCAAGATTAGAACTTAATTGGATTTTAAAACAAAATCATGTTTGTGAGCATTCTCAGAACTTAATAGTGGACTTGACAGTTGTCAAAACAAGAGACAGGTGGAACCTGAATTTTTTATTAAAAACATGGATTCAAGTAGCCCATTTCATAGGCCATGCACTGAAAGGAAAAGTAAAAAAAGAGGTTGAATCTTGATTCTATAAATAGGATTTGATTTTTGAAACAACAGTCTTTGGAATTTGTTTCCTATGGCTTTTAACTTTCCATCTTTAAAAAGCTACTTACAAGTTATTGGATTCTTCTGAGCTATCTGATTCCAGTTTTTCTTGCTGATTAAAGTCTGATAACACTAGAGTCAAATTTTGGTATCTGAAGGATAGCCTAATCAGCTTGTGTCACAAGATAACACAAGATAGGTGTCAGAAAGTTTCCATCTCTTTAGGGAGGGAATCAACTCCCATTTGACAACTTATTAATATTTAAATGAATGAATTTTCCCTCTTCCCCCCTCTCCCTTTCTCCTTCCTCCTCTCTATGTGTGTGTGTATGTAAGAAGAATTAGTGTCAAGCCTGAAATTGACATATGTGTAGCCATTTTAGTTAGGCTTAGTATATGTTCTTTTTCTTACTTTCTCTTGGCTGATTATGGGAGAAGAGTTTCGGGCTTGCCACATTCCTAAGGAGGGAGGAGTGGCGATAGAGTTGTTTAGGCTAAGTGATTCTTCTTCCCATGGGAACACGAACTGACCATGCTGAGGCCCCTTGAGGTGGAGATTTATGACACTAGGCAACGTTGAATTATTTCTATTGGAGAATGTGACTTTTGGGGGTTGTTTCTAACTTCTAATATTGTGGGGTAATTCTGGGTTGTATCAGATCCGGAATTACAATGGACTTTGCCAATTTGATGCTTTCCTAAATACTTTGCTTGTCAGAAGGTCACAAAAGGCAATCACATGACTCTGGAACACAGGAGCGGTCATAAATGTGAGTCAGTTTTCAAGCATCCATATGTAAATCATGTGACCACGGGGAGTCTTCAACAATCATAAGTGTGAAAAATGGTCATAAGTCACTTTTTTCAGTGCCATTGTAACTTTGAACGGTCACTAAATGAACTGTTGTAAGTTGAGACCTGCCTAATCACCGCACAGTATTGATGACAGTATAACTTCAGATATCCCAGTTCAATGTACATTCATAGGATTTTTCAAGTCTTCCTCAGCCAATAGTACAGTATAACCTGCATAAGGTTTCAAAGTTCTTTTATTCTATCTAATAAAAATAAGACCATTTTTTTAAAAAAAATCTCTGTCCTGTCTTTTCTTTACCTTACCTCAAAGGGCTGACTGAATGGGAATAACTATTTGGCAGTAGATATGATCTATCAGTTCTGCCTTAGCCACTAAGCTCTGGGTTTAGACCATAATATATTTCTTTATGTTCAAATAGGCACTGAGCTTAGAGATCAATTTATATTTAGCCCTAGGAATGTATAAAAAGATGGAGAGGTCATATCATAGTCTCATGATTTTCTTGCAAAAAAAGAGCAGATCTCCTTGTTGGTGGCATAGTGAGGCATAGAGAAATCATGTTTCATGCTTTGCTGTGCATGAGAACAGACTTCAAAAGACAAAACAGAATGGGAATTCAACAACAGAAAGTTCTGACCGATAAATATTTCCAACTTTTTTCTAACATGCCTGCTAAAGAAAAATGTAGAAGCAGCCATTAATGCAAATGACCTGTAGAAGTAAACCCTATGTTCAAGTGAATAAGTCTGCGTTCTAGAAGTTTAGATAAAAGATTTATAACAACTGAAACCTAGACCAGAAGCAATCTTACAGCATTTAAATAATGGCTATAATCTCATGGTTTTGTCGTGAATATTCCTAAATTTTTGACATCTTCTCTTTTTTCTATATTTACAGTAGTACATATTCAAAATGTAAGCTACCTGAAGGAGTCATAAGTGACATAGTTGCAATAGATACCTGATTTGTACAATTTAAATAATGAAATGAAATTCAAAAATGTTCATAAAATCAATAATAGTTAATTACATTTTTTCTGTAACAAAGCATATTTAAATTTTGGGATTTACACTGAGAGTTGGTTATAAAATGGGCAGCTATATAAATGTTTTAAAAAATAAATAAATTAAAAAGCACTTACAAAATAGCGTCAGTTTATTGAAAAAGGCCAAAATGTTGCTAAAGGCAAGGACCACAACAACAAAGAGATTATCAATTATTCCTTTTTTTAAAAGGAATGAAATAAACTTTAATGTTACTGTGGTTGACAGTGAATTCATCGCCTAGAATGTTTTTGGCAAAAATAATTTGTAACAATAATGTGCAAGAAGTATTAACTAATATTACCATGTACAGGTAATATATTTCAAATTAAATCTCTTGTATCTAAAAGAATTGTGTTTCATTCTTTTGGCATTTCATTACTCCACGTAAATTGTACATTTCATATGGAGGCTAATCAGATTAAAAGTGATAAATTAACAGCCATAATTAGCATAACTATAGACTCAGTAAGTAATTTATATGCTTTATTTAAGGCACATATCGTATATCTTAGAATGGTGGTTTGGTTTGTAGAAAGAAATTAAAAATGACAACATATTCAACAATATAACACTATAATATAATTTTGAAGTAGGTAAATTTTATAAACTAGGCATTTTTACTGATGTTTTAAACATGATTTCCATGCTAGAGATCAAGCCCTGTTGCTAAATATTTCTCTTCACTTATTTTTTTTCAATATTTAAACCTGCAAGTTATATATTATTAACTAATAGTGCATGTTGACAGTGATCTGTTTTGTATTATTGCCTCTAAATTACTCCTACATTTTTTAATCTGCTACATGTGACCTTTTAGTCATAGCCAAATCTAGTCCTAGATCTGCCTTGGCTTATTTTTTCCAATAAGCAACTAAATTGGAAGATCATTTAAAAGAGTACTCTGATAAAGTAGGGTCTCCCTATGAAAAGGGGAACCTGAAAAAATGGCTCATCTTTACTTTTATAGTTAGCATTTCAAAGTACAAGTTGATTGGTTTAGAAATAATCATCTGTCCAGTTGTATCGTAAGAATTAAATCATCCAATGTGAGTATTGACACGAAAAAGAGCATTGTATTCTGAATAAAAGTAAAAGAAACATTTGCAAAGAAAAAAATATTAGAATTGGTATGGGAAAGATATATTCTTAGCATTTCCCAAATTTGGCCTTGAATATTTGCTTTGTTCATGGGGCTTGAGAAGAGCTGAAATTGGAACGTTTACATTTAATGTCCTAAATGATTTCCTGCCAGTCCTGCTTTCTAAAAGGGAGGCTGTTCTTGAAGGTTACGGCTTAGGGCAAATAATTAGCAATACATTTGAAAAAGGCAAATTTAAAATACAAGAAAACCTATGTTAATTAGCCAGTGCAACAACTGGCTAACAAGTACAGTGGCTAACACTGGCTAACACTATAACACTGTAGTATAGTGCAAGTACTACAAAAACCATATCTGAAGAATTACCAAGTCCATACTGTGTGGCTACTAGTAAAGCTTAATCAGTATATTGCATTGTAAGCTTTCCAGAATCACTCTACCTGAGGGATCCCCAACACCCAGTCCACGACATACCAGAAACTGGTCTGTACAAATAAGCAAAGTCCCATCCACGAAATTCAGGAAGTGCATGAAATCATACCCTTCTGGTCCGTGGAAAAACCTCTCTCCACAGAACCGGTCCCTGATGACCACTATCTAGAGGCCGTTGCTCTAGATAGTGAGATGGGCAGCATATAAATTTAACAAATCAATATTACAAGCACTATAGGCTAAAAAGCCATTCATAATTCACTTCATTCAAAGGCCCAAATATTAAGACACAATTTATTTTGAAATTTTCAAGGTATTATTTTCACCTGACAAAGCCAAAGCCCTAGTATATAATTTTCAACAAAAAAGAACAAGGTATAATTTATTGGATTTCTTATATGGAGATATGAAGGTTTCATAGAACACCTACATATAAAATGTTTCTAACTCTACTTTTAACAATCCATTTCTACATAGTACAACAAGAAAATAATTTTGTTGAGTAAAGATATGGAGGCCTTGAACTTATTTTCAACAAATCTATGCTAGGTCGTAGTATATATATTACTCAGATTTCAGCAAATGGTATGATGTTTTTTCCATGTTGGTGATTACACCTAACCAACCTTAACTGATCTCAAAAACCTAAGGAGAACTGACCTGATCAATATATACTGTAGGTGAGGGAGCATAACTGCATTAGATAGATTGAGAAGTTAAAACATCATCCTGAACATTAGCAATGCAAATCAGATACATACTGTAACCATGACAACTGTATGGACATTAACAGTATGCAAAATGTACCAATGCTGAAATAGTTCCTTCTGAAAACACTATCTTGAATTGTAATCCCATTTCAAGGTCAAAACATATTTTTTCTGAATTTAAAACAGTGCTTTTTCATGTTCAGATGTTTCTAACTCAGAAGCATAATCAGACCAACTCACTTTAAATTTTGCAAACTCATAATGGACAGGTCCCTTAAGTCATTAGGAGTCAGGCTTGACTTGGAGACTTTAACTTTTTTATTATTTTTGTTTGTCACAGTTTTCTAATGAAGAAAAATCTGATTATTAAATTCATGAGACATTGAAGTTACTTTATAAGAAAGCCCATTCTGTACCATGACCAAGAACCTCTCTCTCACATCATTGACCAAGTCATTTTAACCAGTGTCTAACTTTGTTCAATGACATGCTGCATCTACACGAACCAAGCCATTTTTCTAATGAGCTTGGTTTAAAAAATTGAGATGAATTTTTGCCTTCTTTTTTCCTAACTAACCAGGGAACTGTAATACTTTATAACAATTACAATTAACAATTATAATTAACAATTATTACATTGTTTCTTTTATCTTTCTGTATTTTGTGTCTTTGGTTCTGGATAATTCCTGCCAGAGTGTGGTTGTGGGTTTGTGAGCTATTGTTATTCTTAGGGTTAGGGTTAGGGTTAGGGTTAGGGTTAGGAGGATTCTAGCTGTCTGAAAGAAACAATGTAATCTGAAAAATCAATTGTAACTATTGCAACCAATTCTATGTGGCACAAATATCACATCAATTAAAAATCAGGATCCATAAACACCAGTTGGCAGTCAAAATTCCACAATCCCAAATCCCACACCAACACCAAACAGCACCAGTTCAATTGGAGCAACACAAAAATAATCAGCCACACTACCAGCCTCCACGTTCATGAATTATTGAAGCCTGGTACTCCACAAGCAATTCCATCAACAGACACATTGACGTACAACAGCATATGAACCCCTCAGAATCCAAATCAACTGTACAGCCAATCAGAGCCAGCCTCAACCAACCCACACAAACCCCCCACACACACCAGCATTTCATCTCCTATTGACCCTGACCTCATCCTCCTTATTACAGGACCCATCACAAGACCAGTCACAAGACTCATTGATGACACACAGCTGCCCCCCCCACAACACTCGACACACACCTGAAGCCCTTTTAAAGAGAAGAACACTGATATCCCCTAAACTCTGCTGAAGATGTTACCTAGTGTGGTAACGAAATGTTTGGAAACCAACCCACAGTGACTTGAATATGTAGGTTTTAACTTAGAAAAGTTGAAGTTTATATTATAATAATTATAAATAATTTGCACATTGTTGGTAAACTAAAATATGATTTATTACAAAAGGGACATTCATATATTGCCTGCATTTACATAAAAAAGAGTGCCTAATGAAAAACAAGATTAATATCCAATGGAAAATTATAGTCTAAACATATTACTGTGCCTAAATGACAACCCTTCTATCAATCCTAAGAAAACTGCTTAGATTGCACAGTTTGTAGGAAGTTTGATTATTTCTCATTATAATTAATGATCCTCCATACTTGAATGGCAAGAATATTGCAAATGTCCTTTATGTACAGTAAATCAAAATATCTGCTGTTTTATTCCTATGCTTGTTTGGCAGCATTTGAGAAATCTTCTGGAATGTCTTTCAGATTACAAAATATGTTAAATCGTATCTTTTTAACTTACCATATAGGTTTTAACAACTAAAGTAGAAAACAAGTAAATTATATAATATGAATCAATAAAATACAGAAGGTAATTGTACTGAAAAAATTAACATGGCTGCTTTGAATCACCAAACATAAAAAACTATATAAAACACTCTCTCAAAACATATAATGTTTTGTACTCATTTTGCAATCCTATAGGTATTCTACAATTTGAATCACAATTGTCTTGTCTGTTTGTCTTATTTTAATTCAGCTCTGAAGCATGATAGCTATTCTGATACCCTACCAATAATTTGAGAAGCTGTGGAAAAGGGACTATTTTGTACAATATGCTCAGAAAGAATATCTCAATATTTAATAATATCTCGTAATATTATTAAATATAAGGCCTGGTAT